CCCCAAAACCCCAAAACCCCAAAACCCCGGGAGACTTGCATTTTGGCTTATAAATAAAATAGAAAAATAAAATGAGTGCAAATAAAGAATATAACTTAAACTCATATTTGCAAAATAATAATAATGTGCCATATGTAAGCAGGCAAGATTTGATGTTTGAAAGAAGGAAAAAGGAAAGGGAAATGGATATGGAAAGAGCAAGATAAAATGTAAGCATCAACAATAGATCTAATAATAATTCTTCAATAAAAAATCATCATGAAAAGCATGTCACTATCAATGATAATGCTTCTACTTATGAGTTTAATGACAGAGAAACGTATAATTAAAAACCATTCAGTCCCAATAATGACTTAGATTCAGAACTTAATGAAAGAATGGATGTGTAGAGTGAAAGTTCTAATTAACAAAAAATGTATCAAACACCTAACAATAACTTATCAAAGTCACAGAAAAATCTAAAAACAATAAATGAGCGTACGGGTACGAAAAGTCTAATGGATTACTCTTAAACTCCATAACCTGCAAAGAATCATTTTAATACTATGAAAAATATGCCTAATCCTCTGTTTGGAGAATCGGAGGGTGACTACAAAAGGCGCATAATGAACGAGGAGTATAGGGAATATGCTAAAAAATCAATGGAGCGTAGCAGAGACAGAAGTACTTCAAAACGAATGTCTCGACACATTTAAAAGCGTCAAGAAGCATAGAGTAAATCACCAACAAGTGAAGTAAATATTTACTCTTAGAAACAGAGATACAAGTACTCCTACTTCAATCAGTTACAAAATAACTAACAAAATAATAATAACATCAATAACAATTATGACTATAACTACTAAAGTGCTCCCAGACCAAATGACTATTAGTCACTTTAAGACAGAAAGTTTAAAAAAGTAGAGGAAGATGAAGATTATCCAGCATCTGGGTATATACTTAAAACTGATCCTAGACAAGTATTAATGCAAAAGGAAATTCAAAAGCAAGAATATAGCAAAGCTTTAAGGGAGTAAATGGAGGAAAATTAGCAAAGAAAACAATAGCAACGAGTAAAATAAGTTCATTACGAAAATGAATATGTGGGAGAGTTTGGAAATACAAGAGGAGGTGGTGGAGCCCCTATTAGAGATCAGTATGGAAATGTACTTACGACTAGACATAACGGTAATGGAAGTTAGAGTGAATACAATAACAATGGGAGTTTAAATAATAGTGCAATTCACAATGAGTCTCAGTCTCCTTCAAGATCTAACTATTAACCTGTATGAATAAATGAAATTTAAAACAATTATAGAGTGAATCTCCCAGTAAAAGGAAATAAAACTAACAATATGAACCAGAAACCAAGAATACAATGCTTGATGGGTATGAAATGCAAATATAATTGAGAGAGAGGTAAAGAGAGGAATGGAGACAAAATCTATAAAATTAAATGCAAGAGACATAAAGTACACAAATTTTCTTTTTTAAAAATATTGTAGAAAGAAAATAAGATTTAAAAATGAAGAAGAAAATAGATGAAGAGATGGATGAAGAAAGAGTTCATAGGTAAATAAGAGAAATTAATGATGAGACTCTCAAGGAGAAGCAATCAAGAGCATCTTTCAAGAGAAATCCATCCCCTATTAATACTCCTAGGAGACCACAGATTAATGATTAAATAACTGACAATCATGTGGCCCCTCAAAGGGAGTTGATGAGAAGTTAGATTACTCAAAGAAGAGATGGTGATACAAGCTTTGATTCTCATAATCAGCCTAATAACAACTTAAACATCAATAATTATAACAACCAAGCAAATAACAACAATAGAATGGTAAATGACAGTTACCAATCACATCAAAATAACTTAAATTTAAGAAGTGAAAGGGATTAGTATGAGAATTAAATTGATAGATCTCTTTATAATCTCAGGAATGAGGCTACTTAGACATAAAGAGACACAAATAGAGCGCTGGACAGACTTAATCAAATTCAGTCCGAAATGTATCTCAAGTAAAGATAGAGCGAATTGCAATCTCAAGAGTTCTATAATGAAATGATGAATCAAAGCAAAGTAATGCTTTCAAGTATTAAGTATAACAATCCTTAGCTTTATCCCTTTGACTAAGTTCTTAGTTAATCCCGTAGTGTCTACTCAAACTTACCTTTACCCAACCTTGGTAGAAGCATTATTGGAGGCATGAAAGGCATCGAATCTGAATTCCTAGTGCCTAGAAACTAAAACTTGGAATTAAGATCTGATATAAATAATTCATTTAAGGGTGAGAATGGACCTGTAAGCACTTAATCCGCGAATGATGAAATTGATGAACTTATTAATAGATTCTGAAGAATCATTATACATCTTAATTTTAAATTAATCTTATAACTGTCATTTAATGTTAAAACCAAATGTTTAATCATGGGGTTTTGGGGTTTTGGGGTTTTGGGG